GTACCATACCATACCATACCATACCGTACCGTACCGTACCGTACCATACCATACCATACCATACCATACCATACCATACCATGTCATACCATACCATATGTTATCATACTGTTGTACCATACCATACCGTACCGTACCATACCACACCATACCATACCATACCATACCATACCATACCATACCATGTTATACCATACCATACCATACCATGCCATACCATACCATACCATACCATACCATACCATACCGTAGAAAACGGTAGATCTGGCTTTTGAAATCTGAGGTTTGGCATTTGAAAAAGGAGTTCTGGCATTTGACCAGAACCACACCATAGTAGAAAAGTTCAGATTTGACTTCCGTAGTCTCTCACTGGCTTAGTTACGCATCTGATTAGTTAATCAGATATATCAAACGCATCTGATTCGTCAATGATCGCTTAATGGTAGTGGTAGTAGAATTCAACCTCTTTAATACCACAACACACCATACTACACAACACCATATCATATATCATCATATCATATCATCATATATCATATCATATATCATATCATATATCATCATATATGATATCATACGTTACACCACCACACTCCACCAAGTTGCATACCTGACGTCAACCAATTACTTTCATTTCAGGAATGTGCTGTGAAAGTTGAAGACCGTAAAGAACCGTACAGAGAACTTCGCACTTTGAGCAATGATGTCACTGGCTCCTGTCTACAAGACGATGCTATCAACATCTACAACAGTATGGCTGACATTGACAAACAATGGCGAGAAATTCTGAACCGTTTGAACAAAGTGAAAAAGAATGTGGATGACAATTACAGAGCTTCAAAGAAATTCTTTGGATCATATGATGAGTTGATAACCTTTATGACCGAAGCCGAGAAACAGTTGGAATCTGAGGATAGTATTGGAGCTGATCCTGCTGTTCTGAAACATCAACTCAAGAAACACAAGGTAAACTTTCATTTCTCTTGCTTTACAAACTTTATCAAAACAAACTGAAGTGTCGAGACTTGTGGTAGTAAGGGATTAATTAAATCTATTTCCTTGAACCAGAGAAATGAAAGTGTCTAATGTTTATATGTTACTCAAATCGCTAGCTATTCCAAAGCACCCTGGGTCCACAGCAAGCCAAGATGGACGTGACGATAAAATCTGGCAAAGTTCTCATCGACCGTGGCGAAGTTGACGACGCTGTGGTAGTCGAAGCCAAGATTGCTGAATTGAAAGAACGCTGGGACGGTCTTTGTGGCTTGTCTGTTGAAAGGTAGGATAAACGAACCTCTACACTAACTTTATTTCAACAGGATATCACTGTGTCACCCACAGAGGAATAATTATGAATTTAAAATTCCTCTCTTTTTTAGGCAACAAAAGCTCGAGGAAGCTCTGCTGTTTACAGGAATGTTCCAAGATGCATTGCAATCATTGTTTGATTGGCTAGAGACAGTAGAATCCGGTCTCTCGAGTGAGACAGCGATCATGGGTGACACTCAGACCGTGCTTATTTTAATGGATAACCATAAGGTACGGTTATAATGTATAAATGGTGGGTTTTACTAAGCCCCATCGCGCCACAGATGGTGGTCAACGAACAATTGCCAGAATAATGGTGATTCTTTTTATTACCGAAATGTATCTAAATGCTTTACCTAAAATCCATCAATTAATAGTCATAGTCTAGGTTATATAATGTATGTACTGGTCCAGTGTAGATAGTATTCTACAGTAATCTCCTTGTCCAGATCTACCTAAAAAAAGATTAAGTTTCATCCAAAACTACAACAGTTTCTGACAGTTGCTAAACTCTTTTCGTTCATCAAGGCATTCCAACGAGACCTTGCAAGTCGACAGAAAACCTACGACTCTGTCGTGAAATCAGGCCGACAGTGTGTTGAGGAACAGAAAGTCGAAGACCCCACGGCATTGGCCGACACTCTTGACGACCTCGTTGTACGATGGGATACATTGAGCATGATGTCGAACACCAAACAAGAACGGTTGGAAAATGCTCTGACCCTGGCGGAAGAATTCGAGTCTGGAGTGAAGGAAGAATTGAAAGTCTTGAAGGGAATTGACACGAGATTGAGATCATTTGGTCCTGTGGCTGATAACGTGGATGGTGTTGATAAACAGATTGAAGAGATGGAGGTAAGACTATAAAACTAACTTTGTTTATGTACCTACATGTAGAACTGACTGCGCCAATTTTCTATTAACTATAGGCCCATTATTTTGCAATACACTTAGTTCAGACATTCGTGGAGCATCAACTCTGTCTTTGTTTAACAAAAAATAAAGTTGTACTTATTTACACGTATACATACTATTTGATCTCAGATATAGGCAGCGTATTTTCTGACTCTGTATATTTAGTTCTTTTCAATTAGTTTACTTATCTTTACTTTACTATAATATAACAGGACGTGTATCACCCTCATCGGTATAACTAATTATTATTTAAATCAACTTAATATTCGAGAGGAGCCCAAAGCATTAATAAGCCGTATGGGTTCTATTTGGGCTTCTCGTCACTTTTGTGTAATGTATGTAGATATGTGTGTATTGATGTTTGGTTTTATTTGCAGGAAGTATTAGCTGACCTTCAAACTGAGGAGGGTAAAGTGAAATCCACTATCAAGAAAGGTGACATGATTCTGAGGTTCTGTCATCCTAGTGGAACACACACCATACAGACATTACTGAACAGACTTAAGAAACGCTGGGAAGAGCTCAATAGTTGGGCGAACCAGAGAAAGACAAGGCTTGATGAACATCTCAAGTCTATGGAAGATGAAAGGAAATTGATCGAAGAATTGTCTGCTTGGGTTAAGGAAAAGGAAGCCGTGATTGAAGAAAAGGAAGCTGTACCTTTACCAGAAGAAGACACTGACAAATTGAAGGCTTTGCTTGATGAACATAAGGTAATCTACACAAGTAAAAACGCACAAGTTGTAACAAACCTGCAGCAGACTTGTAGCAATGCTGTTCCGACAACTTGTCAACAGGATGTGTTCGCACTGCTTGTTCCCAGCTTGTTGACAAGTTGTCAATGGCTTGTTGACAACTTGCTACAAGGTTGTTGAGCTCAACAGACTTGTTACAAGTTGTTCCAACAATTTGTTATCGTCCTGCAATTCAACAGTTTGTCAACAAGTTGTGAGTGACAACCTTGTAGCAACTTGATAAAATAACAGCATTGTTACAACTTGTTGACACGCTTGCTACAAACCTGTTGTGAACACATCAAGTTGTGAGATTTTTCTGTTTTCTCCTTCGGACATATTTCCTTAAACTCCTATTCCAAGTACATGAGCTCATGCATATTCATATTTCAGTTTTATTTTCCACCAGGAATTCCAAGACAATCTTACAACACGACAACCAGATTATGATCAAATCATGCGATCATCAAAGCGTCGACAGCTGGCAGCCGAGCCTGCGAGAAAACACGAAATACCAAGCAAAGTACGACCCGGCTGGAATAAGACACGAATCCCACGCAATGCTCCATCTAGTCAACCTGTATTTAGTCGTGGACACTCGTTCACGCGAGACAAAAGTCCCGCGCGTGCTCAACTGGCGAAACATTGGCAACACTTGTGGTTGTTGTCACTAGAGCGCATGCGCCGAATTCAGGAGAGATTGGACTACATCACTCAAAAGAAGCTAGCGGCGAACTTCAGCTTTGACGAATGGAAAAAGAGAGTAAGTTGGTTTGTTTAAACTCGACAGTTCCACTAAACACTAGCAGAGAAAATAATGTTAATTATTTTCCTTATATGTAGGAATCTAAAATTTCACTCACATCTCAGTAAAATGTTCAATTGATTAATTGTAATGTACTGTCTTTGTTTAGTTCGGCCACTGGCTGCACGAGAGCAAATCACGTGTCTTGGATATTTTCAGACAAAATGATCACGATCACGATGGCAGTTTGACACGTGAACAGTTCATCACTGGCTTCCTTGCCACAAGTAAGCCTTGATAATATATTCTCATTAATCATCATTATCATCATTAATCATCATTATTATTTATTACCATGCATAAATTATCATCAAATATGCAACAACTTTATTGAATTTCGTTCACAATATTATTGTTTCAGCATTCCCTACGGAAAGATGGGAGCTTCAGCTGGTTGCAAGAAAGTTTGAAAGACGTGGTCTCATTTCCTACAAAGATTTCGTGGCTGCAATGAAAGCTGTAAGTATATATATATATATATATAGTTGTATAACCTTTATTTCCAAGTGTATAAGATGTAAACACTATAAATAAAGTCTGACAAGATATATTTTACATACATCCGCAGTTTCCTCTTATGTATTTCCTATTTTCCACACGCATCGAGTGTCTAGCATATTCTGAAACATTTGTTAATGCCAATAATTTCCTGAATGAGACTATACTTGTATAAAACAACATAAATAGATAAACGAAATGCTTTCCTAATAAGCCTATATGTGTGGTGTAGAACTGCGTGAAATCTTCATTTTCCCTTGCAAGTTTTATTCCCATTTTCATGGTAGATTTTTAGACTAAAATAATCCTTCACCCCTGACGTCCTATCTTAGCCAATATTCCAGCTATTCATGTTGCCCCTGTCTTAAATGGTCAATATCGTAAAAGTATTTGTCTTTTTCATGAATATGTCGGACCGGTTTTGGTACAATGACTCGATATCGATCAAGTTCCGATCATGACCAAAATCATTATATAAGGAACTGCTTTGCTCAAGTTCAGAATTATTGTTGATAAAAATCGGTCGTAGTAGGTTTCTTGATTAAATACAATTGGTTTGGTGAGGGTTAAGAATATTCCAAAAGTGCAAGACAATGGTTTATATGGCAGCTTATGAAGGACCAGGACAAAACGAGGCAACGTCCGAGTCTGTAACAAACGATTATACAAGCGATGATGAAAATGATGATTTGAGCGAATCAAAATCTTTTTACATGGTGCCAATGTCTTTCGTCATTCATACATATTCCCGAGTACAACCTGACTCGATCACCGAGTCCAGTCAGACTTTATCAACACAATTTTCACCTTATCGCCACAAAGTCACGATGTTTAAGGTATTTTTATGTGTTACTGTTGAAAAGTTGGCAAGTTTTATGTGAAATATTGGCATTGAGTTCTTATCGTAACCGTCAACCCACCAATATATAAAAGAATTCTTCATTTCGTATTGCTTCATATATGACTTATGTCTTACATCTTCTTTTCAGAAAAAATCAACAAAACCTCTGACAGAATCCGAGCAAATTCACGATGAAATTGAACGACAGGTGTCAGAGTGCGAATGTCCGCATAAATTTGAAGTTACTAAAGTTGCAGAGAGGAAGTACCGGGTAAGAGCCTTAAATGTTTCATTTTATATTGGCTTTGCTGACACTTTTGAAATTGCATATTCCATACTCGTTCATTTGTGAAACCCATGCCGTTTCTTTTTACCTGTAGTTATGGCTACGTCGATGAACCAATTGTACTAGTTATGTCTGAGTAAACACGACCAGCTGTCTTGATATTTTTCTTGTATTTTCAGTTCGGCGACTCACAGAAACTTCGTCTGCTACGAATCCTGCGAAGTACTGTCATGGTTCGTGTCGGTGGAGGTTGGGAAACTCTTAAAGAATTTCTGAGCAAGAACGATCCTTGCAAAGGTGAACAAAATGATGCTTTACTTCCTTAGAATTTTCGAGGCAGTACTAGTTTACACTCCCAAAGTTTCTGTGACGACAGTAGGAATTTTGCATGGGCACATTCTAAGTTTTGAAGGATTTTCACAGAAACTTTGACAGTGTAAAGCAGCCAAAACTGAAACCTACTGATTAAGACTGATTTTAGGCACACAATAAGAGATGACATTGTAGTGCATTGAACGTTTGAATATGGAGATATAGAACTGACAATATTTATAATACGTCGTTTCCTTTTTAGCTGAAGGTCGTACCAACTTCGACATCCGTAACCTGGCAGCCTCGCCAGACTTGTCAGTACACAACATAGGGACATTCCGTAACAAACGACCTGGAATATCTCGCGAGGGATCTGGAACCGATCTTAAGGATGGTCTTGCACCCCCTGCGTTGGGACCGCGTAAGAAGTCTGGGTCCAACCTCAAAGGTGACAAAGCAGGCGAACTCAAGAAAGCGGGAAGTAGAGATGGCCTTGCCTCGCCTAGGGCTACGACTCCCACCTCAAGAGTCAAGAAAGCGACAAGTCACACATCGGTACACAGTGACGACGGCAAACCGGAGGCTTCCGGAACATCTACGCCGACGAAGACGAAGACGAGCACTAAACGAACAACTACGAGTACAAGTCGTGTACCCACGCCGAAATCGACCACGTCGCGCGCGAGTCCCGCAAAATCAACCGTCGCGTCGAGGACGACAACCTCACGAATTCCAAGCCCGTCGACAACTGGCGGTGCTTCACGTACGACTACGACTACAACCCGAACGGGTAGCGGAGGAACACGAACGCCTACGAAATCAACGTCATCGGCTACCCCGCGAAGCTCAACGAAAACAACGAAAACTACCAAAACAACGAAGAAATAGACTGGTCAAAGAATTGACCACGACACCGACATAGGAGAGCAGTGATCGTGAATAATTTGCAGATTACTGGCTCACAAGAAGACAAGAAATAGGCAAAACTATGGGCAAAACACTGCACATGCTTGCACTAAGTGATTCTAGACCTTAATTATAGTTAGCATTTCGTATGGTTATATTTTTAGTTATGTTAGAATTGATATTTAATTTCAAGGATGTTGTACAATTTAGATGTCCACCGTGACACTAAGCCATACATGTTCGTACGCACTTTGTCTTCAAAGGAGATTTAGGAAAACAAAATAATTCGATAAACGTAAGATAATTTCTCCATAGTATATGTAGCGAAACAAAAAATTAGTGAATTTGACAAAGTTTCCATAACTCAATGGCTGGCGAGTTTTGGTGACTTTGTCAAACAACAACAACATTTTAGTTTTTGGAATCTTACCAAATACAATATGACCTAAACTAAATTACTGGGAATTTTTAAAGGTTTCCTTAAACTCATGGCTGGCGAGTTTTAGAAACATTTAACTGTTTCCATAAATTGGTGTTTTCTCGGAAACGAAGAAATTTTAACGACTTTCCATAGATCCAAAATATTGATAGGAACAAAATTGGTGAAGTTTCTGGAACTCTCATGGCTGGCGAGTCTTAGAAACTTGTCCAATTGTTTTTAGAATTTCTAGTATTGGAATCTTGGAAATTTCTGAAAACACATACATCATAGTGTAGCTAACTTATATGTTGTTAAGTGTATCAGTGTCTGTATGTGAAATGTTCAGTAGTGAAATGTGATTTTGTTAAAATGTAAAGAGTGTAACATTAGGTATAATTTTAAAGTGAAAGAAAGAATAAAATTATCGTTTTGTAAAGTATTGGCTTTTTAAAATACAACAGGATAGAATGAAATGGGTTGGAATGGAATAGAATATAACGGATTGGAATAGAAGATAATAGAAGAGAATGGGCTAGAATGGAATAGGTGGAATGTAATAGAAATGAAATAGAATTCGAAACACTTCGAAAGAAGGAAATTTCAATGAAATTTACCTATTATTCGAAGTTTGGTTTATCAAAGTGGAGCCACTACCACCAGAAATTTCCCGCTAAAAATATCGCCTAACACGCGGGAAGTTTCAAAAATGCGTTTTACAGTAAAACTTCAGAAAAAAAAACACGAAATAATTTCACAAAAGAACAGATACTTCATATTTCTTAATGCAGGTATTTGTAGTTTTAAACATTAGTAATAGAGGTGTAGTTTCCTGCCAAAGAAAGGAATTCTTCTTTTGTGTGGCAACCCTCGTTTCACGTGGATGCAAAATCATGTAGAATATGTTCTTTGCAAATGGTATTTGTTTTATTTTTCTAGATATTTTGAAATTGATCTAAATGTATTTATCCAGTGTTCATATTGGCTTACCTCTGCCGTGTTTTCAATGTTATCTTGTGAGCGGGACGTATCAATATTATCACTATGCTTGTGATGGTCACAATGATGTGGTTGGTTGCAGTAGAAATTATTTTTTATTTAAAAGGATGAAAAATAGATTTTGTCCTACTTAGCAGACTTGTTCCACAATAGTTTTGACCCTTCCTCCCCCCTGTCAAGGAACATGTCTGCCAAGTGTGATGTAATCTATTTGTTATCAGTCTTATGTAGAGTGCATTTGGTGACTGAATGCTGTGTTGATTGTTAGTGGATGACAAAGTCTAGTTCACCCTTTAACCCATTGAGAGGCAGCTCTCTCCCTTTAAGAGACCGGTCATTATTTATGGAAGGGGGGAGGGGAATTTTTTCTTTTCTAAATTTTTAAAATTGAAAGCCCCCCCCCTAAAAGAGCAGAAATTTAATGATGACCCCCCCCCCTCCCCTCATTTTCACTTTTACTTGTCAAATGGGGATACCCAGGCGTTTATATAGTGTTAATTATTAAATAAGAATATGGAACTGGCAAGATATTAACGTCGACCAAAAATATATTAGCAGAAAATTATAATTAAAAGAGGAGTATTTTTATATATAACACTAAAATCAGGTTTCCATTTGGTCTGGGCAATTGTAACCATGTTTAAGGTTTAAGGCTGCAACTAGACTTGATGGTACGAAGTATTGCCATAGCAGCTGCGCAGCAACAATGAGAACAACAATCGGTAATATTAGCAGCAAAAGGAGATAGCAATGACAATTCTGCCTAGGCATACCTGCGAAATTCAATGTATAGTAGTGGTCTATACATCCTATTTTATGTGAGATTAAAAACTATATAAAATAAAATGACATATACTAGCTACCAGA